CCAAACACTGATTGGTTTGGACCTCTCCGCCTCGTACTACACCCCAATAGGTCTCATTACTGGGTGGCCGGCGACTCTTGATGTTGAAAACAATAAAATTTCATTCGTTCCTAATGGTGGGGTGGCTTCAGGGCGTTGGGATTTGGTCATTACTGGGCGTCCTGAAATTTCAAGCACTGCCACACCTCGGACGAGCAATAAGAGCATGGACTTCATGATAATTGATGATACCGAAGTAAATTTCAATGCACTCCTTCCGTATTACGGTATGGGTGTATTATTTGCACCCAATCTTCCGAGTGGCATCGCAGCTTCCGACTACATGATGGTGCGCTCTTTCAATGACTGCCAGTACACCACAACAACCTGCACTGACACTGTTGGGTGCCACAGAATGACGCGACCCGCGCATCTTCCCCCTCCTGGCAAATACTGGCTTTGTCTGACCTCAAATGGCTGGAACTCCCAATACCTTCTGTGGGGTGTGGAATCTCTTGAGGTGAAGGTGCTGTTGGCCACGCCGCTGTACTTGACAGCTGGTACAGACAGAAAAGTCGTGCTGCAGGATGCGGAGTCTGTGGTCAGTGTGCCGGGGCGTGTTTTCCTGGCGCCATGCCCTGGCAACAACTGCCCCCTTGTGACTACTGGCAGTGGGGAAGAGGTGGTGCACCGTGATGCGTGTGTGAACACCTCCGTCTCGTCGCGGGTGTACCTGTCCGACCTCCGTGTGCTCTCTGCAGAAGCAGGCGTGTACGCTGTGTGTGTCGATGATGGTGGTGATGGAGAGTACACTGCTCCCGCTGCGCTGCCGGTGACGGTGCTGGAGAAACCGTTTGCCTTCAAGATAGCTTCTGACACGGACAAGAACACTGTTAATATTGGTGTTGGGGGCGGTGACCTCAAGTGGCGCAGAGAGCCGTACACTGTGTGCGCTGTGCCGCAGAGTGACACTTGTGATTCCGTGTCTGCTGGGCCTCGTATGTGCGTGAATAGTGAGTTGCCGTGGTCATCATCTGTGTTTATGAATCTCACCGGCAGGGGTATGTTTGTTAAGGATATGAGGTTCTGCTTCATTGCAGCCAACGTGACGATCGGAGGACGCACCTACACACAGATGCAGAATATGTTAGAGGATGACTGTGAGCCGACCACAAGATTGTCCGCTGGAGCCATTGCCGGGGTTGTTATTGCCGGCATCGTTTTATTAATTGTTCTGGTTGCCGCTGTGGTGTATGTGTTGCATCAGCAACGAAAGAACCGAAGAGTGTCGCTGGACTCTGGCACACGACCCTCGCCGGCGGTGCCACACTCTGTGCAGAAGAAATCAAATCCCCTGACAACTGTTTCTGTTGGTACTTCCCCGCACACACACCCACCCACGCCTGTTCCTCCCCAAGGCGATGGTGCTGCCCAGGTGCCTGTTGCTGAGCAGCCCAGCAACACAGCGGAGCGGCACATGGACCCCACAAATATACCAGAGGTGATGGACGGGAATTCAGTTCCTTTGGTAGATACACAAGAGGGCGATGCGACAAATACAACAGGAATTATTGCAGCTGCCAATAATAGCAGGCGTGACAACAATGCGGAGAAGGTGCCGATGGCTGATATTATTTGTGAGGGTCCCTCTAATGAAAATGTGCTGGGGAGGACAACAGAGAATGCTGAGGTTTTTCACACCATTCTACCGAATAGTGGGGACGGTGGCGTTCTTCAAACAGCTGCTACTTTTCCTGAACGCAAAGCGACCGAAGAAATACCTAATGAATTGTCTGTCGAAAGACCACGCGTGGAGCGCCAATCAGTAAGTGTGTCGCAGGCTCCCTCTCCTCCCAGTGCGAAATGTGGGGCGCCAGAAGGCGCATCCTACCTCCCACTGACGGAAGAAAACTTGTCTTTCTTTCGTCCGGAGAAGATGGTAATCACCCACCCTTTTGAATTGCTTAGGGGACTGGAGGAGTGTGGGGAGAACTACCCCGAGTGGGCCGATGTTTTTTACCAGAAGTGCTTGGATGAGGAGAGGAGGAATCATCAGCGTATACAAGATTGGCTGAAAACGCAGGTAAAGAAGGCATGAAGCTTTACGATCCAAAGGGAAAAGATTACAAATGGTTCAATGGACCACCCTCTATGAATTCACCGGATAATCATGACCCATCAAGCGACAAGGATAATTGAGATGCGTAGTGCATTATGAGTGTGATTCCCAATGGGTCAATGCTTTGCCCAAAGAAACAACAACACAAGAGGAAAAAGGAAATTTCTAAATCGTGAGCCCCATGCTGTCCGCTCTCATTGTTCCTGTTACCACTCTGAAGAATACTCCTTCCTTCTCCCCTTTCCCCAGTAATCCCTCCATCGCAATAATACCTGGACTAGGAACTGTTTCATCTGGTGTTGCGTTGGGCGGTGCGAGTTATCGGAGTAGATGTGCATGAATAAGGGAGTGCCGAAGAGGTAGCCAGCTCAGATGAGGTGAACTTATCGAAGGATTATCTGATAGTTTTGCAGGAGGAGGAGATATGAGATAAAATGTCTCTCTTTCTGTGTGTGTCTTTTTATGCATGTGTGTATGTCTCTCCTTGTTGGGCTGTGACCCGTGTGGTGCCGCGCGACAATGGCAACTGTGACGATAAGGCATTTGTATTCAAAGCCTGACACAACGATTGCAGGTGCAGGAATAAAGAAGGCGGAGCTGTGTGGCATCGACGCCCTGTGCACCGCGTTTCTCTCATTTCTCACCCCCTGGTGCGATTGCTGTCAGCCATTGAAAGCAAAACGAAAAAAAGTATCGTGATCCCCATAGAGCAGATGATGCATGTGCTGTGTCGTACTTGTTGCGGCGTGCAGGACATCGAGAAAGTGAATGCGATGAGAGAGATATCAACACAACAAACAAAGAAGATGATAGGGGCTTGCCTGTGCAATCGACGAAAATAGTATTCAGGTCGACACAAGGAGTAGTCGTTGAGTGTGACAGAGCTGACTTTGTACTGAGCGATGCTTTTGTTTTACTATGTTTTTGGGTTGTTTGGTTTCACAGTGCTCACTAAGAGGAGAGTCATGGGACTATGCGTGTGGTGCCGTGACAATTCCCCCGTATCGAAGAAACAAAACAAACACAACGCCAAACGAAAACTGAATTGAGTGAAGTATATGATTTCTACTGTATGAGTGGCTGCTGTAAGGTAATCAAAAAAGAATGAAAAATAAAAGAAGGAAATATGAATAAAGAAGTGCATGATACAGGGCCGGCAGCCCGTTGTTTCGTTGTTTTTGTTTTGTTATCGTTATTGTCTCTGTGGGTTGTCAAGGTAGAGCCATATTGAGCTTCCAGGAGGAAGACTAGCAATGCCGGCCGCACAACACTGACCACCGTGTGCGTAATGGCTAATAGCATGCCTACCTCTCTTTTTATTTGTTTTCCTTTCTGCCTTTGAGTGAATCACTGCGTTTATTTAAAAAGAAAAAGACTCTTAGATGACGTTGTGTGAGTCTCTGAGAGTGAGTGTGTCTGCCATTCTCTCTCTCTCTCTCTCTCTCTCTCTTTGCGCTGTTCATTTTCTTCTCCCCTTGCTTGCACTCTGATCCATAGGGGGATACCATGCGGTGTGGTGCTGCCGAGCTTCCCCACGAGCCACGTGAGCAGGCTGC